TAACATGCTAGGCTTGGGATTGTGGGTTGAAGATTTCTTGACAAGATGATCATTGAAAAACATAGATGAACGACAGGTTTGGAACTTCTAGGATCTTCAAGGCTTGCAGTTGCACATGTTGCTCGGAGTTGCTCGTGTTGCCCATGTTACTCGGATGTTACGGCCGAGGTTCTTGCTGCATTCTGCTGGGGTCTGCTCTGCACGGAGCTCAGATGGGCCCCTGGAACAGCCCCTGTGACCACTGTGACGTGCTGCGACCAGTGTGGGACGTGCTGCGCCGCCTGCGCCTTTTTGGTGTTTTGGTGCCCAGGTCCGGTTTAGGTGGTGCCATTGCTGAGTGGGTTCTGCAGAGGACGCTGCCCAATCTCGAAAGAAATGGGCAAGAAATGGGACTGGTCGACTTCCAGGTTGTCAGGTGATGCCCACTGCGCCAGTGATTCGATTGATGATATTGATGTGCCATGTAGCCCTCAGGAAACGACGGGACAGTTACCTCTTTAGTTCGGAGATGGCAGTGCTCGGCAGCGTATGGAGCTTAGATTCTTGATGATTCTTGAGAAGGGTGGAGACCTCAAATTGGCTTACCACGGCAAGGCATTGCAAGGCTCTTGTTGAACACTTCCAGCAACAGGGTATTTGTTCGCATACATGCAATGCCATGTAAATTGTTTCTTGAGTAGAGAGCCCGTGATTTGCATCACCTGTTGCTTCTTCGAAGTGTGTGTCGTCACTGCTAAGGCTGTGATCTTAATAAGTATGGCTCTCAAGTCTCTGAAAACAGGGCTACAGCATCAGCAACTAGAAGTAGCCTTCCTGAATGTTTTTCTTCATATTTTTCATGAGTTTTGATCATGCCGTCCCAGATCATTGGACGAATTCATCTTCAAGCCACTTGGCAAGGGATTTTCGAGACGGGATGGAAATGCTGGAGGGTGGCATGGAGGTGGAAAGATGTGACACCTCGAACAGTTTCGAAGGGTCCTCTGTGAGACCCGTGGGATATCATGGGATATCGTGGGATACCAGCATGGTTACTCAGGTTACTCTTTGCCTTGAAATTCAGCCCATGCTTCTCCTTTGCCAATAAGACTTGCAATTTTCAACGTTAAGGCTTTAAACATCTTTAAACCATGTTAAACCTAATTAACATTTATGAACATATTATGAAAATTTGAAAATTGGAAGTCTCCTGCTGTCTTCCTAAGCTGGTGCCGCTGGTGCCGCCAAGGTGACGGCCTGTTTCAGAACTGGACGCGTTACACGCCACGGTCTCAGTCTGTCGCCCGAACGTTACGCCGATGATGTGATGATGTGATCGTTGCCGTTGTCGAATCGAGGTTGATCCCTGTGATTACCCAGGGCTGGGGTGGCATTGTCGTGGGTCTGATCTCCAAGACCGCTGGCAGTGTGCGAAAAGGCCACTCTCAGACTTTTGCTAAAAGGTCTAGAACTGTTGAGACCTCTGCTGCTTTGCATGGCTTTTTGAATGGCATGGGCTTTGCTGAATGCTTTTGTGTCAGGCTTTGCCATCATGGTGGGTCTGATTCTGTCCTGTGTGAAGGGCCAAGTCAACACCAAACGCAAGCAGAGAGAAACTGTGAGATGAAGTGGTCCAGAGGCGGATTCGGATTGCAGGATCCTTCCCTGTGTGGATAATTTCGCCATTTCGTCCATGTTGTCATTTCATGTCATTCCGATCCATGTCGTTTCCATCCGGTTCTTCCATCCACCTCCCACATCTTTCGTCTTTCATCGTCTTTCATCGTCTTGACGTCCAGGTCTTGAAGTGGTTGGTCGAGGGCGAGTCGCTGCGTTGGTCCACATTTGTGGCTGTGCCACTCGTCGCCGCCAGCAGCCCCAGTTCCATAAACAGCTTGATGAACTTGATGTTTGTTTCGCAAAAGCCTTTGACAGATCTGAGATGCAACTTTGCAATACTTAGTACCTGATTGTTCAATAGTGGATATAGATGGAGATAGTGTTTGTTGATGTTTGACATGTTGCAAACACTTGCTACCCGAGAATGGCTCAATTCCATGTCATGACGACTTGGCCGTTTGGGATGAGCTTTGGATGAGCTTTGTTCATCCATGTTCATCCTTTCCAAGGTGAGCATCTATCTGCATGCAAAGTACCCTCCAGCTGCAAAGCAGGCGTAAGGACTGGCGGGAAGCCACTGGCACACGAAAATGCCAAACACATCCAAGCAACTTGCTACCAAAAACCGGAACATGTCATTAGTCACATCACCTCACATCATTGATTGCTTATGGTTATCTTGGTGAATGAACGTCACCCAGACTGCGTCAGACACGTGAGGAGGGACGTCTGATCCCCTGCGTAGGCGCAGGGAGCGCAGGCACCCCCAGGCGAGCGCAGGCGAGCCGCGAAAACAGTGCGCCAAGCTGCGGAGCGGGTGAAAGCTGCAGAAAATCTGGGAAGATCTGGGAAGATCTGGGCTTCTGGTGGACTTCGGATACTTCGGTGCACAGATTGACAGCCTGCAGCGAAACATCCAAGAGAACTGAGACAATATGAGACAATAGATGATAGATCATGGTAGACATAGTAGACATGTAATGATGCAATACTTGTTGCAAAGCTGCATTTTGGGGTCTCGACTCCTACATTTCTTCACATGCGGCCATTTCTCATCAAACTGCCAGCTTGTGTTTGGAGGAGATTTTCACCAGCGGCCACACAGATTCCGACGCAATAAGCCAATGTCCACTCTCCCCAGACTAGTTTGGTCAAACATTTCATCCCGTTTATTCATCTTCATTCACCCTCTTGTGGGCGTACCATTCTCTTAGCATGAGTTGCACAACGTTTGCCCTACACAAGATGATTAACACGGCAGGGTGTGCATATGATGGTGAGGTGCTTCCTATGGGACACCCGGCAGGGAAGTCTTCGGAAGACAGGGGGATTGGTGGCTAATTATTGCTTGAATTGGGCAAGGGTAGGGTTTCCGATGTCAGTGCAATTTTCATACCATAAGTCACTGAATAAGAAGAGCTTCGCAAGATTCTCAGAGTTGAGTAAAGCAAGGCAATGAGTTTTCGGCAGAGTTTGGGCCAATTTCAAACACATAGTTGTGACATGTTGTGACATGTTGTGACATGTTATGACAAATGTAATCTGCTGACATAGTTGGAAGATGTTGGAAGTTCCCCAGTTCCCTTTTGGACTTCCAAGGAATGGTGGGTGGACGGCAGCAGCTCGAAGAACTACAGCGACAAGCTGCGCTTCAAACGAAGGCTTTGAAAACAACACCAGATTCATCCAGATTCACTGCATTTGTTACATCAAGTTATATCACGCAACATCGTACTACAGAGGTGATGAAAATTCAGGTCCCAATTCGAGGCAATTCGAACCGTTTAGGGCTGCTGTTTGGGGGCTTGAGGTCCTATCTCTCCAAGAGCAAGCAGAAATGCAAGCTCGCCGTGCTGCTGCGGCAGAAAGGAAGAAACAGATGGATGGCAAACCCAACCAGCTGCAGGAAGAGCTGCAAAAGCCGCTTGGAAGCGACATCGTTTCTTCATTCGGATGTTCAATGTATGCACACATATGCACAAGTTTGCCAACACAGAATGGATACCATGGATAGCTTCAAAGCTGGCAAAGGTCGCAGTGATTCCCCATGATTCCCCCGTATTCTTGAATCTGCACATCACATTTGATCACATAACAGATACATATTAGATATACATATTAGATACATATATGATCATATATGTCTTAATATATTTCATATGTCTATATCATGTTTGGAGGGGGTGCGCCTTTGTTAACCGGGCAGATGGGACAGGCGGATGTTTATCAAGAACTTCCTCCAACTTTCCGTGTCTCTGCCAGGAAGTTGGCGCGGCGAAGAGCAGCAATGGAGGCAGCTGAGGAGAAGTCGTGATCCGCCAATTTTATCAAAACAATACTGGAGATAGAAGATGGAGAGAATGGAGCTTGAAAAACAATGATGAAATCTTTGGAACAGGGAATGCAAACCATGTCCTCCAACAATCCCTAACAAGTTTCCCATTTCATTACAGTTGTTGTCATTTTATTTGACATCATTTTTATTTAACATATATGCATTATAATTTGTTACTTGTCCATCCTCAATTTTACAAGCGATACACTGAACAGAGCTGAACAATGAAGAGATTTCCGGCCATCCTCGGCTGTGCCCATGTGGCAGGATTCCAAAGCGGGAGAGGGATCACCGGCCAACGGAGACGCGGCACTGTCGCCACTTGATCCACTGGAAACTGGTCAGCTGCAGCCTTCGCAGCTCTCAGTTCCAACAAGGCCGATGCTTGGCAACTGGCCATGTCGCTGAGATTTGGGATAATTTGGGTCCAAGACTCCAAGACTCAGCAATTGAACTTCAAACGTGTATATAATAGGAAAATCAGGGAAGATCCGAGGTTGCCAAAGTGTCTTGCCCGTTGGTGCTGCACACCTAGTGTTTCTATATCCTTCTTGAAGTTTTTATCGTCCAACAGTTACCACGTGGCGATTGATTAACAACCAACAGATTTCCCGTGTGCAAGTGGGGGAGGGCACTTTTCTTTCGATCTCTGCAGCTGCTGCAGCCCAGAAAAACACACAGACCATCCACGGATTTGATTCACTCTTGCAGCAGGCAACGGGTTTGTTCGGGCGCGGATTTGTGACGTTGATTCTGAGTTGACGTTGATTCCCACCAAGGACTCTGTTAGAGTCGACCCAGTGACAACCTCAGACTGGCCATTGGCCAGAGTCAGGGCATCGGGTTGTACCAAGTTGCACAAGTTGCTTATTGGACCAGGCTGAGAGATATTCAGAGTTGCTGTGCAAGACATTGAGCAAAATTGAAATAAACTTGTTTGGATCAAACATTTTCCAACCACTTTCCCATACTTCCCATGCTTTGTTGGGTTTGAGGTCTGCAAAAGCCTCCCATGATCGTTCAGACCGATGTACTTCGGAGGTGTCCGCGTCGAAATCGAAGCCGACAGCTCCACAGCCCCCCGAGCCTGCGGTGCCTGCGGTGCCTGCGGTGCCTGCAGTGCCTGCAGTGCCTGGGGCACGAGCACAGCCCAGATGTCAGGTGACGCACGTGCAACATGTACAGTACGCTCAGCAGCACGTGCAGCACGTCCAAAATGTGCAAGAAGTCTTGGAGAGCGAAGGAGTCTCTCCCGGTTTCACCATAAGAGAGCAGGTTTGGGAGCAGCAATCTGGGCAGCAGAACGAGTGCTGCGCACTGCAATGACATGCAAAGGCTCCCTCCCAGCTCAATGTATTGAAAGTCCAGCGTTTTGATGTCTTCTCTTAATTTCACACACCTCCTGCAAGCAGAGAGTGTCTTAATCCCAAAGAGGATGCGCTATCGTACACTGCTTTGGGGAAAGAGGCTGGTTTAATGTGTCAGCACTTCAGCTTTTGATTCTATATTGACATGTTCAGCTCTTTCGAACAGGCATGACCGTAACGCGTGCTTGCATACTGCACAGCCAAACGTGTTGGTGGTGGTTTGGCTGCAATTGTTGCAGTTACAATTGTTTCTGTTCTTGCCATTCTTGCTGTTGTTGCTGGTGGCGGCGGCGGTGGTGGTCGCTGCTGCTACTGCTGCTGCTGCAGCGCATTTCCACGCATGCAGCTAGAGCTTGGAAGCGACGGGTAAGAGAGTTGTGTTTGCATGAAATCTGCATCCTACCGTACGCTGCCGCATCCGCCATGGATTTCCCTGTCTTTATTGTGCCAGTGATCACTCCGTCCGAAGAATGCAGTGAAGAGTCGGGGGAAATCATGTCGGACTGACTGTATCTGTATGGAGTGACAACGGAGCGTCTCACATTATCCTGAAATGCCAAAGACTTAACCAATGTTCTAATGACTTTTCAGATATCAGTTTGTCAGCAGATTTCAGACATGTATGGCTGAAGTTCATGCTTATAAAGCCACTTTGGTACGAGCCGCGCTGTAAAGCACAGTAAATGATTTCCAGCCTTATTTGATGAATCAACTGCACCGATCTGAGGCTTTTAAGATTTTGATTCTTCTTTAAGATTTTGAATCTGAAGTGTCACTATGATCGCACGACATGATCGATGTGGAACGCAGCCAAGTGCAAAGGGAGATGGTGAGAAACTGAGATGCTGTTTGATTCCATTTGCTTCGGGTGTACGATGTGTACCAATCAATCTGTTTTTGACAATTCGTTCTCTGCAATCGTTTTGGCCCAAAACAGACCGTTCAATCAACAGAAACAGACAACTGAAGAGGCAACGTGGGGCATGGGGGCACTTTAAGGGGGACACTCCATGCAGAACGAGAGAAATTGTGCATTTTCTTCGGCCTGTTCCTTTCCCATTCCTTTTGCAGGCCGACAAGATGCCTCCGAAATTTGTGAGTGATGGCCACTTGGAGAGAGACAGTGCGAGCGTCAAAAAATCAGATGATTTCACATGTCGAACAAAGATCTTCCTGTCTTGGACCTTTAAACTGCCACGCTAAGGTGTACATTTCAAGCATGCATTTTGCTCGTTGAACAACGGCAAGCTGGACGACTTCTACAAGGTCGAAACCAAGAAGAAACTTGGTGAAGGATCATATGGCCAGGCCCTCAGCACGCATAATTAAGACATAATCAACACTAATCAACCAAGTAACCAATCACTTCAATTAATTGGGTCCCAAAACAAGTTCTCAAGGGTGCCAAGTTTGAGCGAAGCGCTGCTGAACAGCTGCTGAACAGTTGCTGAACAGTTTGAATTGATTTGCTCTGACATTCATGATTTGCTATGAATCTGCTGTGAATCTGCTATGAATCTGTTTGCCTGAGACTCTGAGGCTCTGTCTCGAAGGGTGTGCACAAGTCCACTAACGCGGTTCGTGCTATCAAGGCCCGGCTGGGCACTGGATTCACTCTGTCGCATGACGTCGATGCAACTTTCAAAGGCAGAGACGTAGGACACGTAGAAAGTGAGGCTCAATCCATCTCAATCCATCTCAATCCAACTCAATCCAACACGTAGAAAGTGATGCTCAATCCAACAATGCCATACAAAATCACAACAATCAATCAACAACAATCCAATACCCACATCCAACAACAGTATCATACAAAATCCAACAACAATACCCACAGCTGTGGCAGCATCCCGAGGCCATTGACCGCACCAAGATTGCAGATGGAGAACGCTTCCAGACCGAAGTTGACATTCAGCTGCTTCCTCAAACGGTCTGGAAGATGAATGAAGATGACATTGTTTGTCTGTTGCAGTTGAAACATCAAACGAATCAGAATGGCTATGCAATCTATGCAAGGTATGAAACAGAATCAGTGCTGTTTTTTGACACCGTGGAACCTACTGACCACCTTTGACATTCTTTCTATTACCTCAGCCTTTTCTCTCGGTTAAAAACATATCAATATTTTACATATTACACAATATTACACACACACACATATATATATATATATATATATTACACACACAGATATATGAATATATATATATAATTATATATACAGTATATACATTATATTTACAGTATATAATATATAAAATCTCAATTTCTTTAGAGTTCCGATGCGAGGTCGGCCTTGGACCACCCGAACATCGTCAAGCTCTACGAGGCTCACAGCACCGTCCGGCCGAGTCCTCGGCCGAGAACTCTCGGCCGAGTCGGGACAGCACCCGTGGTATGGTGGGTTAATGGTGGGTGAATGATCCCATAATGGGATTGATGGGTAAATATGCCCATGATAATCCATGAGACATCCACATTACAATATGTTAATTAATATGTTAATGATTAATATTAAATGTTAATGAAATCTTTAATGAAATATTAAATGTTAATGATTTGTTCCTTGTGGACGCCACGTGCACTCCCTGATGCCAGGTCTTCGTCGATGCCAAGAAGGCCGACACAAACCATGAGATCCCCCTGGGGCATGGTAAGATATGGTAAACATGGTTATGGCATCCTTGGCATCATCCACAGCTTCGTAGCAGAATAGCATCGTATTAGAGGTCTACTTGGTCATGGAACTCTGCACCGGTGGTGAGCTCTTCGACCGCATCTTGGAAGAGGCTGAGAAGCACGAAGGCCAGTGCAGTGCGGCCTGTGCGATGCAAACCGTGAGAAAAGAACAACTCTGTAGAGAAGGTCAAAAGAATAACATGATAGAACTGATATCATTTTGAAAAATCTTGATGTATCCAGTCTAGCTTTCTGACTGTTTCTTTGTTGGCTGTAGATTGGCTGTAGACGGATGTTGAAGGACAACATGTTCTTTCTTGCAGGAAGCGATGCCGCCAGAGCGTTCGATGAGCGCGGTGCCGCATCTTGGCCGCCAAATGTGGGATTTTTCCCATTTTTCCCAATTTTCCCCTATTTTTCACCATTTTTCACCATGTTTCCAATTTTTTCCCATTTTTTTCCCTGTCCAAATGTCCAAAATTGTCCAAATGGCATGACCGTTTCCTGAGGCCACTTACATGCAGCAGATCCTGGGAGCAATGAGCGCCTTGGAGCATAAGGCATAGCCATAAGGGCCATGAGGGCATCGACCATGGCAGGGCATAGGGTGCAAACATGGCAGGGAATGACGGAATGGAAATGGATGGGAAATTCCGGAAATGGATGGAGGATTCTTGCAGAATAATGAATAATCTGACTAATCATGAAGACGCCTCAATATAGACATCGGAAGATTTGGAAGGGAAGATTCTTGCGGACTATGTGACGCCTTCAATATTGACACTATCATGAACAATGTCTAACATCGTATCAGATCTTGACTGTTGGACCAGGTTTTGGTTTTTGGCTGGTGAGCCGGTGGCTTTCCATTTTGGTTCCTCCAATCCAGCCTTTTCTTTTGAACAGATCAGCCTTCAATATGTCCCATGGTCGGATGAAATTCGTGGCACTTGAAGCTGAAGATGGTGTATGGTTTGTCTGAAAGTAGGTCCACGGTTTGATCCTGTTTCATCATGCATTCACCCTTAACATTGCCCAAGTACGGTATCTCCATAGCTACAGGCATCCCCATAACTATATCCGATATCCTTCCAAGCGTGCAGAGGTTGGCCAATGTTGGGCCACTTTGGCTAGGTGCTAGGCTTGAGTCGTTTCATGCCATTCCCCAGGCTATTTGCACAACAACGACTTCGTTCATCGTGACATCAAACCAGAGAATTTCTTGCTCCAAAACAGGGATCCAGATGTACCTTGGATGCGATTGCACAGCCGAACTGCCAGAGAAATTTTCAGAAAGAAACGCTTGGACCGCTTGGAAAGAAACAGGTAGAAGAAGGACACAGATCCAGATCCAAAACGATTGGGACACCTGTAAAGTGATGTAAAGTGATGTAAAGGTGATGTAAAGTGCGAATGCTTTCCGAGTGAAACAAAGATAAACAAAGTGTGTGATGTGTGATGTGTGATGTGTGCAGGCGCCCATCAAAGTGATCGACTTTGGCCTGGCAGCGTCCTCAGTCGAACGCCGGAGCCGTGACGCCGTGGCACGGTGGCACGGTGGCACGGTGGCACGGTGGCACGGTGGCACGGTGGCACGGTGGCACGGTGGCACGGCATGAGCCAACATGCAGCCAACATGCAGCTATAGCCAAGGCCAAGAATCACAAGGTGGCGTCCGGAGAGAAGATGAAGACCAAGGTCCCACCATGTCCTGGCAGCTGTGCAATACACCGCTCGTTGCCTCGTTGCTACGTGTTTTGCTTTGTGGTGCTACGTGTTCATGATGATTCATGATGATTCATGATTCATGATATGTTTTCTCGACTTGCTTGGTCTGATGAAAAGCCAAGCAACCCGACCTTGCCTTTACATGGCAGTTTGCAGCTTCGAAATGAATGCTTTACTGGGCCCTCTGATTCTGCGCTTTTTCTGCCTGAACTCTATTGCTACTGCCCTTGGTAGGCCGGCACCCCGTACTACGTCGCACCGCAAGTGCTGGAGGGTTGTTACGTGCTCAACTCAGCTTGGACATCGTGGGAAAAGTGTCCCCGTAAGAGAGCTCAGTTGTGGGATGCGATTAAGTCGACATTTTAATTTAGGACTTGTATGGACTTGTCTTCTGAGTCTTCTGCAGGATGAGAAGTGTGATGTTTGGAGCTGTGGGGTGATTTGCTACATTCTGCTCTGCGGCTATCCTCCGTTCTATGGGGACCGGGAACTGGGAGACGGGAACAGACAGGAACTGTGAGCAGGGAATGAGACTGTGACATGACTGTGACT